TTTTGTTTTGTTTTGTTTTGTTTTGTTTCACTTATTTCTGCTCTGATCTTTATTATTTCCTTGCTTCTAGATGCTGTAGGATTCTTTTGTTGTTCTATTTCTAGTTGTTGGAATTGATGAGTTAGAGTGTTGGTTTTGCTTCTTTCCTCTTTTTTGATGTATGTTTTTATTGCTATAAACTGTTCTCTGAGTATTGCTTTCGTTATGTCCCATAGGTTTTGGTATGATGTATCTTCATTCTCATTTGTTTCTAGGAATTTTTTTATTTCAGGTTTTATTTGTTCTATTACCCAGTAGTTTTTGAGCAGTGAGGTGTTCATCTTCCATATGTTTGATGTCTTTCCTTGCTCTTCCTATTATTAATTTCTAATTTTATAGCATTGTGGTCCAAGAAGATGCTTTTTAGTATTTCAATGCTTTTGAATTTATTGAGGCTTGTTTTATGTCCTAACATGTGGTCTATTCTGGAGAAGGATCCATGTGGACTGGAAAAAAATGTGAATTGTGTGCTTTTGTTGGGTGAAATGCTCTCTATATGTCTATGAGGTTGAGTTGGTTGGTTGTATTGTTGAGTTCTTCTGTATCTTTGTTATTTTCTAGTTGACCTGTCCCTCTTTGAAAGTGGTGTGTTAAAGTCTCCTACTACTGTTGTAGAGTTGTCTGTTGTCCCTTTTAATTCAGTAAATATTTGCTTCATGTATTTTGGAGCACTTTCATTGGGTGCATAAACATTTATTATTGTAACGTCTTGTCAATTGACCCTTTCAGCATCATATAATGTCCTTTGTCTCTTATGATGTTTTTCACCTTAATGTCTATTTTATAAGAAATTAATATTGCCACTCCTGCTCTTTTTTGGTTAGCATTGGCTTGATATATTTTTTTTTCCATCCCTTAACTATTAATTTGTTTTTATCTTTGTGTCTAAGTTGGGTCTCTTTTCTTACCCAGTCTGCCACTCTTTCTCTTGATAGGTGCAATTAGTCCATTCACATTTAGTGTAATTAGTGATAGGTATGAATTGATTGCTGTCATGTTGGTGTTTCCTTGGTCCGTATACTTTTCTGTGCTCAGAAACTATTTCTTTTATTTCCAGTAGATTCCTCTCTGAAGTCTCACAATGCACCCTTGTAGCTCTCTGCCAGAGGCCCCACCTGTCCTTCAGGCCTACTCACTGTGCGCTAACCCTGTCTGTGGTCAAAAAGGGCCAAGCCTCTGAGTTTGTGAGTTTGGGTGTGATAGATGTCTTCTTGCATGTCCACTCTTTACAGGCATGTGTTTAGGTCCTGGGTTTCCTTTTCTACTACTTGACCTTCTAAACCCATTAAACCCACTGGTGTCAAGTTGATTCTGACTCATAGCGACCCTATAGGACAGAGTAGAACTGCCTCATAGGGTTTCAAGGCAGGTGCAGTCCAAGACCTTGGCTGCCACCAGCTGCTTTTGTGGGAGACAGATTGACAACCTTGGAAACCCAATGGGGCTGTTCTACTCTGTCCTATAGGGCACTATGAGTCAGAAGTGACTTGATAGCTATGGGTTTGGGTCTGGTTTTGGTAATCTTTACAGTAAGAAGCAGTGGTTAAACATTCTAATACCCATAATTTCACCAGTTCAAACCCACCAGCTGGTCTGCAGCAGAAAGATGTAGCAATCTGCTTCTATAAACCATATGGGGCAGTTCTACTCTGTCCTATAGGGTTGCTTGGAGTCAGAATCAACTCAGTGGCATTGGATCAATCTTTGTGGAAGCAGGCTACCACATCTTTCTCCCATGGAGCAGCTGGTGGCTTTGAACTGCTGACCTCTTGGGTCAGTTCAGTTAGCAGTCAAGAGCTTAATCACTGGAACACCAGGGTTTCTTTCTTGCCTTTCTAGTCACCCTTAAGTCTTCACTTTTGTCCCATAGTCAGAGAAGACATTGACTTTCTTTATCCCAGGAACTTTTTCTGAGTATCTAAGTTTTATCCCACCATGGTAGACTGCCAAGCCATCCTTGATGAAAAGACCACTCTGAGAGGCAATCTCACTCAGAATAAAAGCCAGAGTCTTCACAATGGCCTACGAGCCCCTACCCAATCTGACTTTATTTCCTTCTCATCTTTCACTCATTTATTTGGCTTCACCTGTACAAGCTTCCCTGCTATTCCATGACATGCAGACATGCTGCCACCTCAGGGCCCTTGCACTTGTTGTTCCCTCAGCCTGAAACTTTGGCCTGATATGGTCTTCTCTCAGATATCCACGTGGCTTGTTCCCTTTATCCCATTGAAATCTTTGGTCAAGTATCACCTTCTCAGAGAAGCCTTCCCTGACCACTTTATTTAAAAGTGAAGCTATCTGCAAGCACTTCTTTTCCCCTTTCCAGACCTTATTATTTGTAGGCACCTATCACCTTATTGTTTGCACTCCCCAATGAGACTGTTCATGAAGACAAGCATTTTTATTTGTTTGGCTCACTGGGCCTAGAAATGTGCCTGACATATAGTAACTACTCAGTAAATTGTTGTTGAATGAACATAGGAATAAAGTAATGAATTCCCACCAGGCACTGAGACTACTGGGAGTGCAGGGTTGTAGCTCTCTGTACAGGGGAAGCAGGAAGTTGCAATAAAGGGAAGTAAGGCAGTCAGAGTCCATACCAGTTCTCTCTCCCCACCTGCATGGGTCAGGGAGAGGGCAGTACGATATAAAAACTTCCAGCAGCAAAGAGGAAATAGTCCAGGGAGGGGAGGGAGAAGGAAAGATGTCTCCATTAATGTTGGGGCAGGGTGGGTAAAGCTCTTGGCTGGGAATTTGGACCAGGAGGCCTCAGGAATAGGGGATATACTGTCTTCACCTCTAGAAGCGAAACAGAACAGCAAAGGAGGTAAAGGTTATGCCTATGAAAAGCCTTGTTTATCAGAGGCTACTACTCACCCACTCTGTTAAAATCTATAGTGACCACTTTCCCCAAAGACTTTATTTGCACTCTCTCATTACTGAGTTCTGTAGATTTTACTAAAGATTTCAAAGGAGGTAAGATGAGGGAGTTATGTTGCACACTCTCCGGTAAGCAAAACTCCTTTGTCAGACATTTCCAACTTACAAGTCCCTCTCTGAAGCTGCTGGACTGAGAGTGAGGTTCCTCCCCCTTTCTAGGCCCTGCATCTTTCTTGTCCCCCTCTCAGAGCTCCCAGCAAACTTCAGATTCTTTGCTCATCCACAGAACCATCCCAGCCTCAACTCCCTATCCTTTCAAGCCTTGATGGGAACACCACTCTGGGAGGCAATCTCACTCAGAATAAAAGCTAGAGTCTTCACAATGGCCTACTTACAAAACCCAACACACTGAAGGGCCTTCCAGCTACCTGAACCACAAAACCAAAAGACAAACCCATTGCCATCGAGTTGATTCTGACTCATAGCAACCCTGTAAAACAGAATAGAACTGCCCCCATATAGTTTCCAATGCTGTAATCTTTACGGAAGCAGACTGCCACATCTTTCTCCTGTGGAGCAGCTGCTGAGTTCAAACCACTGACTTTTTGGTTAGCAGCCAAATGCTTTTACCACTGCACCAGCAGAGCTCCTTACCTGAACCACAGTACCTGTTTAAAAACCATTTTTCCAATGACACAGAAAAAAGGTAGCTACAGGAAGAAGGTGGGAAGAGAGCAGATACATTATGGGGATTGCAAGCAATGTCATGAAATGTGTATGAACTGCTGTACGGAAAATGAATTTGCTCTGTAAACTTTCACCCAAATCACAACTTTAAAAAAACCATTTGTCCTGAGAATAAATGCTCCTGGGGTCTTACTGGTCCCTATATGGTGCAAATAGTTCGTGATGGAATATTAACCTAAAGGTTGACTATTTGAACTCACCCAGTGGCACCGCAGAAAAAAAAGCTTGGTGATCTACTTCCGTAAAGATTTCAGCCAACAATACCCTATGGAAAAGTTCTGTTCTGTTACACATGGGGTCACCATGTTGTTGTTGTTGTTGTTATGTGCCGTCGAGTCAGCCCCGACTCATAGCGACCCCTCCTTGGGTTTCCAAGGCAGTATCACTACGGAAGTAGGATTGCCCAACCTTCCTTCCGAGGAGTGACTGGTGGGTTTGAACCGCCAGCCTTCTGGTTAGCAGTCAAGTGCTTTAGCCACTATGCTACCAGAGCTCCTGGGGTCACCATGAGTTAGAATCAATTCAATAACATTGGGTCTTGCCCTTCCCCAGCACCTCCAGTGGCTTATCAAAATATTTTTTCTGTGCACACACAGAGCTCTCATTAAGAGGCATTTGGGAGAATGTTATTTTCTCATCTCTACTCTAAACCCAACTACGCCTTCTTCCTGGGTGCTAGTGTCAGCAGAAGCTGATGGGGAAGTGAGGCCTGAGAGGTAGAGGAGGAAGAAATGAGGGAAAAGGGGAAGTTTGGAAGGGAGGCTTCTGAGGAGGCCACTGTGAGAGGCAAGCCAGCAGAAAGGAGCCGGCTAGCTCTGTCTTCTTACATCTTCCAGCATCTGTGGAGCTATGAGTCAAACTAAAGATTTACAGGGTAAGAAACATGGAGAAGGCAGGAGCATAAAATGGAAGCAAGGAGATGGACAATCCTGGGCTGGGAGGCTCAGATGGTGGTTAACTGGCTTAAACCAAACCAAACCAAACTCACTGCCATCGAGTTGGATCCGACTCATAGCGACCCCTCCTTGGGTTTCCAAGACAGTATCACTGTGGAAGTAGATTGCCCAGACTTCCTTCCAAGGAGTGGCTGTTATGGATGCCACTGGGCTGGGTGTAGGAGTGAGGAGAGAAGCAGGGGGTGGTGTGAGGGTCTATGAACCTTTGTTCTCCCTCAGGGGGAAAAGCTTTTGGACTGCTGAAAGCCCAGCAGGAAGAGCAACTCCAAGAAATCAACAAGGTAAAAGGAAGAACTAAGCTGGGAAAGGGGGCCCTGGGCTGAAGTGGGGATTCTACCCTGGCCCTTACGCTCTACCCCCTACCCCCCAGCAATTCCTGGATGATCCTAAATACAGCAGTGATGAGGATCTGCCCTCCAAACTGGAAGCCTTCAAGAGTGAGTGGGAAATTGGAGGAGCTAGAGAAAGTAGATCCCCACAAAAGGAGGGGGGATGCGCCAAGGCACAAAATTTACTCCTTAACCTGCACCTCTCATTCGGTCCTCTAGGTCCCCTCACCCTATCAGGGGCCTCAGTCCCCAACATTCCCCACCCCAATTCCCTGGTAGCCCTGCCTCCTCCTCCATTTCATCTCCCCGCCTAGCATTCTCTTGGCAAACCCCTCTTTCTCCCTGCCCCACCCTTGACTACTGTCTGTGACCCTCCATAGCGATCATCCTCCCTGCTCTCTCTTCCCTACCCAGAGAAATACATGGAGTTTGACCTGAACGGAAATGGAGATATCGGTGAGAAAAGGGTGATTTGGGGCATGTTCAGACCTAGGAAAGAAGAGATCTCCCTAGATAGTCTCCCTACCAGACAAAGGAGAATGGAACAGGAACATGGGAGAGAAAAGACAGACTGACTACCCTTCCTCTGCCACAGATATCATGTCCCTAAAGCAAATGCTGGAGAAACTTGGGGCTGCCAAGACCCATCTGGAGCTAAAGAAATTAATCCAGGAAGTGTCCAGTGGCTCTGGGGAGACATTCAGCTACCCTGACTTTCTCAGGATGATGTTGGGCAAGAGATCTGCCATCCTAAAAATGTGAGGGTGCAGATCCCCACACTTACCTGTTTTCTCCACGCTTCTTCCTGTCTCTAGGATCGCCTTCTACACATCCCTTAGCTTCTGTTTCTTTCATCCTTAGCCCCTTCCAAGGTCCCACCCATCCCCATCCATGGTTCTGGTCCTCACAGCCCCCAGGACTCACAGCCCTGTTCCTCCTCCTCTTCTCACCTCCACAATTCCTACCCTCTCCTAGACTTTTCAAACAGTTTAAGATTATTCTCTTGAGAGGAATGTTCTCTGATCCCTGTGTTTCATCCCATCCCAACCAGGATTCTGATGTATGAGGAAAAAGGAAGAGAACAGGAGAAGCCAACAGGTCCCCCAACCAAGAAAGCTATCTCTGAACTGCCCTGATTTTGGGGTGGGGGGGGTTTGAGGTGGGACTAAAGGGGCTTCTGATGTCCCCAAATGGAAGACAGAAGTGTGAGGCAAAGTCAAATTGTAAATTAAATAAATTATCCCTCTCCTCCAAACCTAGTCAGCTTGGTCATTTTTGGGGAGATTTATTTTCCTGAATTAGGGGAGGAGGAAGAGCCTTCAAGGGGAAAGCAGCAAGAATTTGCCCCTGTGAGCAATCCATCAACAATTCTGTAATGTGTCTACTAGTAGATGTAGACTGGTTTGGTGTCTGGAGTGGAATTCCAGACATATAAGACAGACTTGGCCTCGAGGAATTTAAGTGGTGTGATGGTTGGAGCTGTGTGTCAGCTTGGCTGGACCATAATTCTGTGTGGTTTGAGCAATTGTGGTGTAGGTTGTTCCTATGATGGGATCAGATGTATATGTTTTGAGCAGCCAATCCATTGAAGGGGAGTTTCTCTAGGGGTGTGGACTGCTTCCAGTATATTTGTAGACATCCTGGGAAAAGAGACTCTCTTCTTCTGTGGATTGGGGTTCTGTTGTGCTGCCTACAACTGTCCGTGAGCGAACAATCCACCATTCGGCCTGGAGATCTTGGACTCGTCAGTTGTTGGAGTCAACAGCCAGTATACTGCCTGCCAACCTTGAGCTCATCAGCCCCTGCAGCTGCGTGAGTCAAGAAAACCCTCCAGCTTGATGTTTAATCCAAGAACTTGGGACTTGCCAGCTTCTATAAGTGTGTGAGCCATTTTCCTAAGACAAATTTATCTCGCCCCCTTCCCTCTCTCTCTCTCTCTCTCTCTATATATATAAACTTTACTAGTTTTGCTTCTCTAGAGAACTGAGCCTAACACATTTGGTGGTTCTAGAGAGACAAAATCATAAGGATGGACTTCCTAAATTGGTTCTCCAATTTAGCTAACCCTAAAGGCACTGGTGACCCTGCTTCCATTAGTAAAGAGAGCCCTTCTAATCCATGGCATGAGGTGGTAACATTGATATGCAAAATAGCACCACCAATAGATCAAGTACTTTTGGGAAGTAAGGCTCTGGGTGATGGCATATCGATATTTTTCTGTAATTTTGTCAGCATGAGGAGTATAAGGAAGCTTGGTTCATTGGTCCTACTTATACTAGACAAAGTGATGAAAGAGCGAGATGAGTTCAGGGCTGCTGAGTCACAGCTTAAGTGCCACATAAAAGACCTCAATGTTTCCAGTTGTGCTCTGAAAGAAAGACTTATTTCTTCTAGTAACAGAGCTGATATTGCTGAAAACCAAACCCAGAGTCTTATTGTAAGAGTGGCTGAGTTACAACGCCAATTGAATTGCCAACCCAGAATGGTGTCTGAAGTTAAAGTAGGGGCATATGGAGTTCAAGTTATTGATAGAGTCTTAGCTCAGGTGCATCTCACAGTGGGTCCAGTGGGTCCCTGAACCCATCCTGTAGTGATTTCCCCAGTGGCAGAATGCATAATTGAAATAGATATACTGAGCAATTGGCAGAATTCCCACATTGGGTCCCTGACATGTGGAGTAAGGGCTATTATGATAGGAAAAGCCAAGTGGAAGCCATTAGAACTGCCTCTACCTACAAAAATGGTAAATCAAAAGCAATACCGCATCCCTGGAGGAGTTGCAGAGATTACTGCCACTATCAAGAACTTGAAGGGTGCAGGGGTGATGATTCCCACCACATCCCCATTTAATTTGCCTATTTGGCCTGTGCAAAAAACAGATGGATCTTGGAGAAGGGCAGTAGGTTATCGTAAACTTAATCAGGTGGTGACTCCAATTGCAGCTGCTGTTCCTGATGTGGTTTCATTGCTTGAGCAAATTAGTACATCTCCTAATGCTTGGGATATAGCTATTGATCTGGCCAATGCCTTTTCCTCAATCGATTTCAAAGGACCATCAGAAGCAGTTTGCCTTCAGCTGACAAGGCCAACAGTATACTTTCACAGTGGTTCCTCAGGGGTATATCAACTCCCCAGCACTAGGTAATTTAGTCCGCAGGGATCTTTATCGCCTTTCCTTTCCACAAGATATCACACTAGTCCATTATATTGATGACATTATGCTGATTGGACCTAGTAAGAAAGAAATATCCATGACTCTAGACTTATTGGTGAAACATATGCATGCTACAGGTTGGGAAATTAACCCAACAAAAATTCAGGCACCTTCTACCTCAGTGAAATTTCTAGGGGTCCAATGGTGTGGGGCATGTTGAGATATTCCTACTAAAGTGAAGGATAAGTTTTTGTATCTGGCTTCCCCACAACTAAAAAGGAGGCATAACATTTGGTGGGTCTCTTTGGATTTTGAAGTCAACATATCCCTCATTTGGGTGCACTGCTGTGGCCTATTTATCAAGTGACTTGGAAATCTGCTAGTTTTGAGTGGGGCCCAGAACAGAAGGCTCTGCAACAGGTTCAGGCTGTCATGCAGGCTGCTCTGCCACGTGGGCCTTATGATCCAGCTGATCCAATGGTGCTTGAATTGTCTGTGGCAGATAGAGATGCTGTTTGGAGTCTTTGGCAGGTCCCTACTGGTGAATTGCAACACAGACCCTTGGGATTTTAGACAAAAGCCCTGCCATCCTCTGCAGATAACTACTCTCCTTTTGAAAAACAGCTTTTAGCTTGTTATTGGGCTTTAGTAGAGACTGAACACCTAACCATGGGCCACCAAGGCACCATGAGGCCTGAGCTGCCCATCAAGAACTGGGTGTTGTCCGACCCACAAAGTCATAAAGTTGGAAGTGCACAGCAGCACTCCATCATTAAGTGGAAGTGGTATATAAGAGATCAGGCTTGAGCAGAACCTGAAGGCACAAGTAAGTTGCATGAGGAAGTGGCCCAAATGCCTATGGTCTCCACTCCAGTCACATTACCTTCCCTCTCCCAGTTTGTACCTATGGCCTCATAGGGAGTTCCTTATGATCAGTTGACTGAGGAAGAGAAAACTCATGCCTGGTGTACAGATGGTTCTGTGCAATATGCAGACACTACTCAAAAGTGGACAGCACCAGCACTGCAGCCCCTTTATGGGATTTCCTTGAAGGACAGTGGTGAAAGGAAACCCTCCCAATGGGCAGAACTTCGAGCCTTGCATCTGGCTGTTCATTTTGCATGGAATAAGAAATGGCCAGATGTGCGATTGTATACGGATTCATGGGCTGTGGCCAATGGTTTGGCCGGATGGTCTGGGACTTGGAAGGAGCATGATTGGAAAATTGGTGACGAGGATGTATGGGGAAGAGGTATGTGGATAGATCTCTCTGAGTGGGCCAAAGGAGTAAAGACATTTGTGTCTCATGTGAATGCCCACCAAAAGGTGACCTCGGCAGAGGAGGACTTTAACAATCAGGTGGATAGGATGACACATTCAGTGGAAACCAGCCGTCCTTTTTACCCAGTTACTCCTGTCATTGCTCAATGGGCTCATGAACAAAGTGGTCATTGTGGCAGGGAGAGAGGTTATGCATAGGCTCAGCAACTCGGAGTCCCACTTACCAAGGCTGATTTGGCTACTGCCACTGCTGAGTGCCCAATCTGCCAGCAGCAGAGACCGACACTGAGTCCATGATATGGAACCATTCTTCAGGGTGATCAGCCAGCAACCTGGTGGCAGGCTGATTACAGTGGACCACTTCCATCATGGAAAGGACAGCGTTTTGTTCTTACTGGAATAGATGCTTATTCTGGATATGAATTTGCCTTCTCTGAATGCAATGCTTCTGCCAAAACTACCACCCATGGACTTACAGAATGCCTTATCCACCATCATGGTATCCCACACAACACTGCTTCAGATCAAGGGACTCACTTCACAGCAAATGAAGTGTGGCAATGGGCCTATCCTCATGGAATCCACTGGTCTTACCATGTTTCCCATTATCCTGAATTAGCTGGCTTGATAGAACAATGGAATGGCCTACTGAAAACACAATCATGACACCAGCTAGGTGGCAATACCATGAAGAGTTGGGGCAATGTTCTCCAGGAGGCTGTATATGCTCTAAACCAGCATCCAATATATGGTGCTGTTTCT